GTGCGGCCCGCAAGTTTTATACTGTAACCCCACTGTCAGCTGCTGTGTGGGACATGTTATGATGTTCTGGTTTCCTACTGTGTGCTTGTCCAGTGAACGTGGCATGCATGTGACTGACATGGGGGGCGGGTCGTGTGTGTCGGCCGAGGTGCAGAGAGCAGGAGGGTGAAATTCAGTTTCCTGCCCTCTTTCGCGCAGGTGATCATGTGACTAACCGTTAGCATCGCTCGTTTAATAAAGTTTTCCTTTACGACTCTCACTAACAACACATGAAGCATCTGACGTCACCGACGAGCGTCTCCGTCCATTACTACGCAGCTTCGATTCACGTAACTTCACGTTTGCTATAAAGGAATTCCACGGTCACATGACCTTAGGTCTCCCCCGCTGAGTTAAAGGAGGACTAGTGTTGTAGTCTCATTCGGATCGATCCCCCAGGGTGGGGTTCAATGACTGCTTTTGAAAGTGAGTGTTAAGTTGTGTTATTGTCGACCATGCCGTTCGGACGCTAGTCTGGCCCGCAGCTGATTTGAGTTTGAGACCCCTGCTGTACAACCTGTTTTAGACACTTTCTCACCACTTGTTGAAACGGGCTGAACGCTTCTTTCCCTCCAAGACAAATGTTGACCTTTACTCCTCTCAGAGTTTAACTCCTTCAGCGTTCAGTCTGTGGACGTCTTATTTTCTAAAGTGGTCCATGTTCAGTGTAGCTGATGCTGGGGGACATTAGTGTGGTGAGACGGAGGGACAGAGGACAAAGAGACAGAATGGAAATACTTTGTCACGTCAAGAAGAAGAACTTTGAGCAGCAACTTGCTCTCAGTGGGTTTAGTTTCTGCTGTTAAGCTTCTCTGTGTCCTCAGGAAGAGACGACGTGAGACATTTGAAGAGACTTCTGTCACTTCATGTTAAGCAGTGATGAGCTGAAGGTGAACCGCTGGTTCAATGTGTAATAAATAAAGTGTAGTGATGGAGGAACATTCAGCAGTGAATGATTCATCACATATTGTGTGTGATGTTTATTGTATCATGTGTCTACTGTTTTTACAGGAACCATTGTGACTCCTGTGTTTGTGCTGAAGGGACGTGATCTGCTCCTCAAGCTTCATGCTGATCCTCCTGAGGGGGTTTTACTTGTTAACTGGAAAATCAATAAAACAGTCACTTTAGTAAGATTTGATCCTAGTGGGAAACCAACTGTCATTCATAATGTCACTGGAGGGTTTGAGTTTCCTGAGAATAAATTCTCTGTGATATTGAAGAATGTACAAGAGGTCGACAGTGGAGTTTATTCTGCTGAAGCAGACACCCTAAAAGGAGACAAACTACTGACTGAATACAAGGTCACAGTTCAAGGTGAGTCTGTAAACATTTCACTGATAGTTTCTGCCGCCATGTTTCATAAACTCTTCACAGAAATCTCCCCCCCCCTCAGGACCAGTGTCTCCAGTTGAACTGATCGTGGACCGAGTGGACAACAGCTCAGAGTCATGTGACCTCCATGTGACCTGCAGGACTCACAACTGTCACATCAGCAGCACTTTCAGATGTGTCGACCGGGTCTGCATTCAAGGGGGAAGAGAGCGACCAGAGGTCACGACCTCTGGGGCTTCTCTCCAGGTCTACCTGTTGCACAACGTGATCATCTGTAACCATAGCAACCAGGTTCACTGGACCCACGACTTCAATACGACTGAACATTTTTGCTCCTCAAATACTGGTAAGACTGAAAGAGACGACTTCATTAATAACAACACCCCCAACGGTTACATTATTGGACGACAAAGTACACCCTCAAGTACCTTATTGCTTTTACCTTAATTGTCCGCTTGCTAAAGCTCGCATTGCCTGACACTTTGAGGGATTTCCGGGTCTTTTTTTTTGCACAACGTGATCATCTGTAACCATAGCAACCAGGTTCACTGGACCCAGGACTTGAATACTGCTAAACACCTTTGCACCAAACATGCTGGTAAGACTGAAAGAGGAGACGACTTCCTGATAACAGTTTGTAGTTTCAGCCTTTCTGTGTTGTAAAGAAACGATTGTGTGTTTTCTGAGTGAATTCTGAGTTCTGAGCGTCTCTAAAGCTCCTCGTCAGGGACGCAGGGGTTAAATACAAACTCAAGCAGAAAGCACAGACGTGTTGTGTTTGTGATGAATCCACCTGTGGTGTGTTTCAGGTTCCGTGTTCCTGGTGAAGATGGTGGTGTTCTCTGTGGGTCTGATCATCATGGTGTCTGCCGTCATCACTGTTCACCTCGTGGACTTCAAGAAGCACCAACAAAGAAATGGATGTCAAACACGTCACGCTGCCCGGGAGGAAAGCTCCCACTTAAAGGTCACCTCCTAAACCCGTGATGATGTTCCACTGACTCACAGCTGGTGGCAGCAACACACCAGGAGAAGAAAAGAGGAAGACGAGCGCAGAGCAGCAAACATGGACGCAAACTATTTAGGATTTAAAGGATTTATAAATTCAGCTTTGCACATATTTCCTGGTGAAGGAAAGACATTAAAAACGTGGACTCAAAGATGCATTTTGGCAAGAAAAAACTTCATGTAAAAATCATAGTTCACCTTTAAAACAAATGCTGATAATCCATTGATTGTACACAATATATCACACACACAAGACCATGTCAATATGTTTTTGGTGAATGTTATCTTGAATGTATAATCAAGACCAATTATATGTAAGCAAATAACCTTAAATATACTGTAATACTGCATACGGTCCAATTGACCAATAAATACACATTGCATATGTGTCTGCATGTACAGTATTTACTTGTACATAATTCTGTTCAGCAGGTTTTGTTTTGGGTGGAAACTTAGAACTTGTTGAAGCTTCATACTGATCTTGTGTTTCAGTGATTAAAAGGTCACGTGTTCCTCTCTGGTGTACTGTGAGTTTTTACCAAAGAATCAATGTGTGATGTTATTATAGTAAAGACACTTGAAACACTGAATGACTAAATATGTTATGGACAAATATATTTCTTAAATTCTCTGCTGTTTCACATATTCGTCTCTGTGAATTCCTCTTTCCACCAAACAAATACAATGGTTAGAAAGTCAAAATGACATAAAAGTTGAAATTATAAAAACAATTATCTCGTAATTTTCTGTTTTATATATTTGTCACAGTTAAAACATTTAATTCGTGTTTTGTTTTTTAAAATAATAAAAATATAAAACAGAAGCATTTCTTGCTTTTTCTACGTTGATCTTAAATGTAAAATATGTGATTACTAACATCTCCAATCGTGACACGTTTGTGTAGAGGAGAATATTTCAGCATTAAAGCAGATCACATGAACTAAAACACAGAAAGCTTCAATAACTCTGCAAACTTCCAGCAGAATTCCAGGATTTGGGGAAACATTCCTCTTTAATCATTGACGGACCTGGTAAAGGGTTGGGCCTTATAGGAGAGGACGGAGCCTTCTGATTGGACAGACAGTCCGTCTGTCTGTCTTTTAACAGGAAATGATACAGGACTCTCAAGCGTCACGCGCTCCCGCCACACATCCTGAGGAATCGGACTCCGGTCCCCGAGCCGAGTCGGCAGCAGCCCCCGCGGCGTCCACCGGCAGTAGCGTCCGCGCCCCCCCCCCCCCTTTATTTACTTTTATTTACAACACCTAAATATATCTTAACAAAACACCGGTAAAACAATGGTGAAACACTAGTAGGACACTTTTGAGACACTCGTAAAACCTCGTCATCTCTCTGTGACTTTCTGCTGCGTCACTTCCCCCCTCATCAGACTCTCAGTCCCGCCAATGATTTGTTGATTGACAGAATATCTAGAAAGCGGCATTTCTCAGATTTCAGAATCCGATGCAAATAGTTAAGGAGTCACGGTAATTTGAATCCTCCATGTCACTTTCCGTCGCCGGCGAAAGGCTTCGGATTAAGAGGGTTAAAAGACAGACAGTCCGTCTGTCCAATCAGAAGGGTCCGTCCTCTGCTATCTGCTATAAGGCCCTCCCCTTTCCGTTAGGAGTTAATGTCGTTGTGTTTTCCTATTTGCTGTTGTGTTTTGCCCTTCAGGGCCACCGTACATTTCAACCTATCACAGCTACCCCTCCCTCCCCACGAGCCGTCCAGCCTTCGCAGCAACGCAACTTGCGAACGGGTCCGAAGTCAGCAAACAATGGCGTCTGGTAGTGACGACGCTCCGCTTCTACTGTAGGTGAAATACGTTTAAAGTTTCATGGCGTGCATGATTAACGTTGAATAAAGCTTCAGGAGATGTAACAATGCACCGTTGAAAGTAGAAGAGGAAGAGGTCTGCTATTAGCACACAGAATGAGGAACAAATGGCAGGAAGGTCAAAAGGGTCATTCTCGCAAGCAGCTGACAAAACCCCTCAAATGGAAACATTCTGAACTTCTGTTTAATCATTTCTTAGAAAACGACCTCAGGTACCCTAACCCTAACCCTAACCCTCAGTAGGTGGAAGGCAAGGCAATTTTATTTGTATAGTACTTTTCATACACAAGGCAGACTCAGTGCTTAACATCATAACATTTCATACAATAAAGTGAAATAAAATGCAGGAATTAAAAGAGAATTAAAAACAGAAAATAAAATTCTAAATGAAAATCTTATTTAAATTGTTTAATTAAAGGCAGAGCTTAAAACTGCTAAATTTTACGTACATTGCACAAGGCAAAGCTGAACATGGGGGTCGTCGTGGCACAGGGGTTAGAGAAGGTGTGCTGGGAAGCACAAGGTTGGTGATTGAATCCAGGCTGCCCCATGTTCCATGTCGAAGTGTCCCTGAGCAAGACACCTAACCCCTAATTGCTCCCCGGGCAAAAATGTGAAAAAGCCATGGGTTTAATGTGTAATGTTTTGTCACAAACGTTAAATCAATGCTATGTTTTATTTTGAAAACAGGAAATGTGATGTAATTTGTCAGGTGACAGGAACCAGGAAGTCAATGAAGAATATGGCTCAGAACTGCTGTTTGTATTGGTAGCTTTTCAATCCAGTTGAGTCTGCATGCATCCTATACCTTTTTGATAGCATCGTTGGTACGTATTGATTTGTTTTATTGTTCATTATCATCTCAGGTGATTATTTTTGTGACAATGTTTAGTTTGGATATTTTTGTGCACATGGCCTATTGAGTCATTCGGGTTGGTAACTGCACTGCTATGGTTGTCATTAAAGTCCATATGACTTAATAAATAAAGTAAATAAGCATAAATATATAAAGTAGCGGTCGAAGAAAATGCACTTCATTTGTATTTATTATGTCTTTTGTGTGTTTTAGTTTTACTCTTTCTCATGTCAATAAACCTGTGGACAACGGACCATTGTCTTCAGAGTCGTGATGTCAGAAAAGAGTTCGTCTAACTGCCAAGGTGTATCGGAGCGCATATACCGAGGGCGGCAAAGTAAAACAACGCTTTCTACCGGGCAAGATAACGCAGCCAACTGACAGATGCTACGAACAACGTCATCACACGCAACCAGTGGATGACCATCACAGCGGTGTCTAAACAGAGGTACGTCAACAGACAACGCCATGTCCGAGAAAGCAACTTCATTAAAGACGCGGTCCCGCGCTACATGTTCTGCTACATACTCAAGTGTATCATCGACGGGGTCTGCTGCTGCAAAAGCGAGAGCGAGAGCAGAGGCAGCAAAGGCACGCATGTCCTACGCTAAAGAGGAAATGAGCCTGAAGATAGAAAAAGCTAAGCTAGAAGCCTCAATAGAAATGCTCAAATACAAGAAAGAGACAGCTGCAGCTGTAGCTGAGGCCGAAGTCCTTGAAGCTGCGGTAGAGGCAAATAGTGAAAGACAAAGTTTGATGTCAAACTTGGAATCTGCACAACGCACAGAACAATATGTGATTGACCAAGCTGAATCACTAAACACAGACGCTCAGCTGCTTGATGATGGTGTTGTCGCAAAAAGAGAGCCAAGCCAAAACTCCGAAACTCCAACTTCATCTATCAAACCTGAAGCAGACTCATTCCATCCGGCTCAAGCCAATATATTTTCCCATCATACACAAAGCCACAATGCAGCTTCTCAACCAACTCGCCTCACCTCACAGCAGCCTTACATCTACGAAGATGAGAAGGTCCACATGACACACAATGTTCGGTTTGACAACCGCAATGCTACTCCTGAGCAAGGTCTTAGACGTCAAAACGACAAAAGTCATCCCGCTCTTAAATCCTACCCCACATCTTCAAACAACAATAATGAAAACTCCAACATTAGCGACTTTGTAAGATACTTTGCTCGTCGTGAGCTTGTGGCAACAGGCCTGCTTCAATTCAACGACAGACCTCAGAACTACAGAGCCTGGAAACGTTCTTTCCAGAACGCAACCAGAGGGTTGGACCTGACACCAAGTGAGGAAATGGATCTCCTGTTTAAATGGCTCGGCAAAGAGTCATCAGAACATGTCGAGCACATAAGAGCAATACACATCAACCATCCAGCGGCAGGCTTGGCCATGATATGGGACAGACTAGAACAATCTTATGGTTCTGCGGAAGTAATAGAAGATGCTCTGTTCAAACGTATTGACGCCTTCCCAAAATTAACAAATCGAGATTATTCCAAACTAACAAAGTTGAGTGATCTTTTAAAGGAACTAGAGTCAGCCAAAGATGAAGGAGACCTGCCCGGTCTCTCTTTCCTCGATACAGCAAGAGGCGTTAACCCTATTGTACAGAAGCTCCCCTTTGGTCTGCAGGAAAAGTCGGCGTCAGTTGGGGCATCCTACAAGCAGCAATATCACGTGTCATATCCTCCCTTTGCCTGCTTTGTAAACTTTGTTAGCCATGAAGCTAGTGTCAAAAATGACCCAAGTTTCAACTTTTTCTCTTACTCAGACATGTCTCTTAGGACAGAAAAAACAACTTGGAAGCCAAACAGACAACGTGAAGTCTCTGTTCACAAAACAGAGATATTTCCAAAAGATACCTCTGGTCCTAGGGAACCCCCAACACAATTCGCTGACTGTGAACAACTGTGTCCAATCCACAAAAAACCTCACCCCATACGCAAATGCCGTGCATTCAGAGAAAAGCCCATTGCAGACCGGAAGACATTCTTAAAAGAGAATAACATCTGTTTCAAATGCTGCGCTTCATCATCACATATTGCAAGGAACTGCACATTTAATGTTCGATGTTATGAATGTAAAAGTGAAAAACACCACACAGCGCTTCACCCTGGACCTGCACCTTGGGTTGAAGACACAAACTCGGTTCCAGAGCATGGCGGGGAGGAGAATAGCTTTCCACAACCCCATGTCGCCACCAAATGTACAGATGTCTGTGGCGGAGACATGACGGGCCAATCCTGTTCTAAAGTACCCCTCGTGAAAGTGTATCCAACCGGCCACGCTGACAAAGCAGTGAAAATGTACGTGATCCTGGACGAACAGAGCAACAGATCACTAGTTCGTTCACAGTTCTTCGAAATCTTCAATGACCAAAGTCCAAGTGCTCCTTACTCATTGAAAACATGTGCTGGAGTAAAGAAAGCGACAGGAAGAAGGGCCAGTGGCTACATTGTGGAATCTTTGGATAAGACCGTCAGCATTCCACTACCCAGCCTCATAGAATGTGATGACATTCCAAATAACAGAGATGCGATTCCAACTCCAAATGCAGCCTTTCATCACGCACACTTAAAGTCAGTTGCACACCTCATCCCAGAGATCGACCCACAGGCCCAAATTATGCTTCTCTTAGGTCGGGATATTCTCAGGGTTCATAAGGTCCGCAAACAGGTCAATGGCTCACACAACCTGCCCTATGCTCAAAAGTTGGATCTGGGATGGGTCATCGTGGGCAATGTGTGTTTAGGTCGCGTTCATAAGCCACCAACAGTCAGCGCCTTCTACACTAACACCACAGAACGGGGACGCCCCACTCTCTTTGACCCATGTCCTAACGTGTTCCGGGTAAAGGAAAGTTACAGTGACACCCAGGCTACAAACCACCTCCAACCACATTTTGTGGAGATACCAAACTGTGATGTTGACAGCCTAGGACATAACATATTCAAGCAGGCCAAAGACGACAACAACATTGCTCCGTCTATCCAGGACATCTCCTTTATGGAAATAATGAAAGATGGACTAACAAAAGATGCAAACAACAGTTTGGTAGCTCCGTTACCCTTTAAATGCCCACGTCAAAGGCTCCCCAACAACAGGCCACAGGCAGTGAACCGTCTCAAGTCGCTAAGGCGCCAGTTTGAAAAGAGGCCTGAAATGAGAGACCACTTTCTCATTTTCATGGACAAGATGTTCAAGAATGGTCACGCTGAGCTGGCCCCTCCTTCCGGTGTGGGTGGAGAACAGTGGTACCTGCCAATATTTGGGGTGTACCATCCAAGAAAACCAAACCAAATCCGAGTAGTCTTCGATTCCAGCGCCCAGTACAACGGTGTGTCACTCAACGACGTGCTGTTGACTGGGCCTGATCTGAACAACACACTGCTCGGTGTACTGTTGCGCTTTAGAAAGGAAGCAATCGCTTTTACAACGGACATAGAGCAGATGTTCTATTGTTTTTCAGTGAGGGAAGACGATAGGAACTTCCTACGTTTTCTATGGTTCCAAGATAACGACCCCTCCAAAGACATTGTGGAGTATCGAATGACGGTCCACGTCTTTGGAAATAGCCCTTCACCCGCAGTAGCGATTCATGGATTGCACCAGTCTGTTCAGGTCAGTGAACTCCACATTGACGCTGACGTCCAACGTTTTGTGATGCGCGACTTCTATGTAGACGATGGGTTAAAGTCCCTACCCACAGTCGAAGCTGCAGTCAACTTGCTGAAAAAAACACAGGATATTCTCTCCAAATCCAACCTAAGACTACACAAGATCGCAGCAAACAACAAGGAGGTCATGGAGGCCTTTCCGGCTGAAGATCGTGCAAAAGACCTTAAAGACCTTGACCTCAGTGCAGATGCGCTGCCGATGCAGCGTAGTCTAGGTATCAATTGGGACCTCGAGACCGACTGCTTCCAATTCAGCGTCTCCGATGAGAAGAGACCATACACTCGACGGGGTGTCTTGTCAACAATCAACAGCCTCTACGATCCTCTAGGGTTTGTAGCGCCAGTCACAATACAAGGCAAGGCTATTCTGAGAGAGCTAACAACTGAGAAAGGTGACTGGGACTCGCCTTTGCCTCGAGAAATGGAGGAATCATGGACATCGTGGAGAACATCCTTAACAGAACTGTCCCAGCTGTCTATTCCCAGAGCCTACACTACAACTTCCCCCGCAACAGCTGTCAGAAGGGAATTGTGCGTATTTTCTGACGCATCCACCAAAGCTATTGCCGCTGTGGCATACCTAAAAGTAACTGACTCTGCTGGAAATAACCATGTCGGATTTGTAATGGGCAAAGCCAAGCTGGCCCCCCGTCCTGAGCAAACAATTCCGAGACTGGAACTTTGCGCAGCAGTGCTTGGAGTGGAGTTAGCAGACCTAATCTCGACAGAATTAGACCTTCAGCTCGATGCTACAACCTTCCACTCAGACAGCAAGGTGGTCCTTGGCTACATTTCTAATGAAACTAGGCGCTTTTATGTGTATGTAAGTAACCGGGTATTGCGTATCCGAAGATCCTCTCGCCCAGATCAATGGCGCTATGTGTCAACAGAACAGAACCCCGCAGACCACGCTACACGTGCTGTCACTGCAGGCCGTTTGAATGACACAAACTGGCTGAGCGGGCCCAAATCTCTGTACACACCGGAGACCAGTACCTCAGAGAGCACCCATGAACTTGTGGACCCGAGTGCAGACTCAGACATTCGCCCTCTGGTATCCACTTTGAGCACTACGACAACATCCAACCAGCTCGGTTCTCAGCGATTCGCAAGGTTCTCATCCTGGAAGTCGCTAACTCGGGCCATTATTCGCCTCATACACATAGCTCGCCTTTTCAACAGCACCTTGAAGAACAGCCTTTGTAAAGGCTGGCATCACTGCAAAACAGGATTCAATTTTGAGGAATCTAATCAAGCATCGCACATCATCATTCGAGCAGTACAGGAGGAAGCCTACAGTCAAGAGATCAAATGTGTCCAAAAACATGAGCAGATCCCTAAAGATAGTCCTCTCAAAAATCTGGATCCTTTCATTGATGCACTCGGCCTTCTGAGAGTCGGAGGCCGCCTCCACAATGCAAACCTTGTTCAGAGCGAGAAGACCCCAGTGATCATTCCTGGCAAGCATCAGGTTGCAACCTTACTCATCAAGCATCACCACGAACAAATCTATCACCAAGGTCGTCTGTTTACGGAGGGGGCCGTCCGTACAGCTGGCTTTTGGATAGTTGGTGGTAAAAGAAAGGTGAGCAACATCATCCACCAGTGTATAACCTGCAGAAGGCTTAGAGCCCCACTTACAATCCAGAAGATGGCCAGTCTTCCAGCGGACCGTCTCTCAACAGAACCTCCCTTTACGAATGTTGGGCTTGATGTGTTCGGCCCTTGGAGTGTCTCTTCACGTAGAACAAGAGGAGGCCACTCACACAGTAAACGATGGGCCGTAATCTTCACGTGCATGAGTGTACGAGCGGTTCATATTGAAGTCATAGAATCCCTTGACACATCCAGCTTCGTCAACGCGCTAAGGCGCTTTCTTGCTGTGCGCGGCCCTGTCAAACACATCCGCTCAGACCGTGGCACCAACTTTGTAGGCGCCTGCCGGGAGTTGAAAATACCCTCAAACATTGACAACACAACTGTGAAGACTTACCTGTTAGGTCAAGGTTGCTCGTGGACCTTTAACCCTCCGCACGCCTCCCATTTTGGCGGTTCGTGGGAAAGAATGATTGGTCTTGCAAGGAGAATCCTGGACGCCATGTTCCTTCAGCTGAAGGACAAACTTACCCACGAGGTGCTGGTGACTTTCATGGCAGAAGTTACAGCCATTATAAATGGCAGACCTCTTGTTCCTGTGACAACCAACTCTGAGGATCCATTTATACTCACTCCAGCTGCCCTTCTCACGCAAAAGGTGAAAGTCTTGACTGCCCCTACCGGAGAGTTTGGAGTTTCAGACCTTTACAAGCGCCAGTGGCGACAGGTCCAGCACCTGTCTAACACCTTCTGGGACAGATGGCGAAAGCAATATCTCCCGACACTACAGGCACGTAAGAAGTGGCATTCCGCTCATCCAAACATCAGCCCAGGAAGTGTTGTTATCCTCAAGGATTGTCAAGCACCAAGAAATGAATGGCCTCTTGGACGGGTAACACAGGCGTTCCCCAGCGAGGACGGGAAGGTACGAAAGGTCGAGATCAAGGTCGCACGAACAGGAGTGACTAAACTCTTTCTTAGGCCTGTTTCTGAGATAGTGCTTCTTTTCCCCCCAGAGCCCTAGTGGAGTGAACTGTCTAGGATTTATTGGGTGGCGTGTATTCACGCCAAGCGGGGAGTGTTTTGTCACAAACGTTAAATCAATGCTATGTTTTATTTTGAAAACAGGAAATGTGATGTAATTTGTCAGGTGAGTCAATGAAGAATATGGCTCAGAACTGCTGTTTGTATTGGTAGCTTTTCAATCCAGTTGAGTCTGCATGCATCCTATACCTTTTTGATAGCATCGTTGGTACGTATTGATTTGTTTTATTGTTCATTATCATCTCAGGTGATTATTTTTGTGACAATGTTTAGTTTGGATATTTTTGTGCACATGGCCTATTGAGTCATTCGGGTTGGTAACTGCACTGCTATGGTTGTCATTAAAGTCCATATGACTTAATAAATAACAAAGTAAATAAGCATAAATATATAAAGTAGCGGTCGAAGAAAATGCACTTCATTTGTATTTATTATGTCTTTTGTGTGTTTTAGTTTTACTCTTTCTCATGTCAATAAACCTGTGGACAACGGACCATTGTCTTCAGAGTCGTGATGTCAGAAAAGAGTTCGTCTAACTGCCAAGGTGTATCGGAGCGCATATACCGAGGGCGGCATAGTGTAATGTAAGTCGCTTTGGATAGAAGCGTCTGCTAAATGACCTGTAATGTAATGTAACATAAAAGTTTACAGTCTTGTTTTAAACGTGGTCAGAGTTGGGGCAAGACTTAAATCTTCAGGAAGTTTATTCCAGCTGTTTGTTGCGTAGTAACTAAATGATGCTTTCCCATGATTTGTATTTACTCTGGGAATCACTAACAGATTGGTGTCAGAAGATCTTAGTGATCTTGAAGGCTTATGTAGTGGAAGCATATCAGTGATATACTTTGGCCCTCAACCATGTAGTGATTTATATGCAGGGCTGTAGTGGAGGGTAAACGCACGTAAACGCCGTTTACGCACCTCTAGAATTTTGGAAATAGCGTTTACGCACCTCAAAGTTCCCTGCGCCTTGTATTCTTCCGTTGGAATAATCCGAAATAAACTTGGTGTAATTTTAAAACAGCTAAGACTACGTTTCCTATTGTTGAACATATAAACGCCGTAGTCTGAATCATGTTCATCTGCGCTGTATTACGGTCTGTGAGCATCCAATCAGTGCCTTGCGGCTGCAGCAGCGACACCAATCAGGATCCAGGAGGTGTGTAAACACACGTTGTGGATCAGCCCAGTGGTCAGACAACATTTTGCGGATCGGTCGAGAAGGTCCGACGGGGGGGGGGGGTAGTAGTCGCGCGCTCTGTGTTCGCTGGTCGGTAAAAGGAGAAGAAAAACGCCTGCTGACGCGTAGATTAGAAAACAAGTCAGATCTCAATGTGAAAAAAACATGCTGTAGGCTATTTATGATGACATAGGTAGTACATGAGTGTTCCTTTAACTTATGTTGTCAGTGTAATTGACAGGCTGCTTAACTGGTTAACTCTTAAATTCAACATATTTTTTCAGGCAGTGAGAGGACAGGCAATGATGCAGAGAGCCCAGGGAGAGGAGGCCCTCTGGGCACTACTGTAAAAAGAGACTCCGTATGTAGATAGTTCTTAATATGCAATTGTGTTGTTGTCTTGTTTTGACATACTTTTCTTTACTGTTCTTAAATTTAACATTTAACATAATGCAATATAGCCAGGACAGCCTTACAGAATCGCGACGCTTTGTGTTGCGTTGCTTTGTGTCGCGTCGGTCTGTATGATCACAAAATTCAGAGTTTACCCACCTCTAATTTTACCACTACAGCACTGTTTATATGTGAGTAGTAGGCTTTTGAAATTAATTCTCTGACATACTGGGAGCCAATGTAAGGATTTAAGAATTGGTGTAATGTGCTCACATTTTTTGGTCTTTGCTAGAACTCTAGCAGCAGCGTTCTGAACAAGCTGGAGCTGCCTGACAGTATTTTTTGGAAGACCTGCAAGGAGACCATTACAATAGTCTAGCCTACTAGTTATGAAGGCATGTACAAGTGTTTCTAAGTCTTGAGCTGACATGAGCCCTCTAAGTCGTGGGACATTTTTGAGGTGGTAGTAGGCCGATTTTGTTACTGATTTGATGTGACTCTCGAAGTGTAAATCTGAATCCATTATAACCCCCAGATTTCTGGCTTTATTTGATGTTTTCAGGGACAGAGAGTGAAGGTGTTGGCTTACTTTAAAACTTTCTTTTTTAGCACCAAATACAATGATCTCGGTTTTGCCTTCATTTAGTTGTAGGAAATTTTGACACATCCAGTGCTCAATGCACTGGCACAGAAGATCTATGGGGCGATAGTCGTTTGGTGATAGCGCTACATAGATTTGGGTGTCATCAGCGTAGCAATGGTGGTCAATTTTATTTTTTTGCATAATTTGTCCTAGTGGGAGCATGAAGATGTTGAATAAAGTTGGCCCTAAGATCGAACCTTGGGGGACTCCACACGTTACGTCGGTTGTTTCTGATACGAAGTCACCAATGGAAAACCAAATAGTTCCTGTCTTGTAGATATGACCTGAACCAGCTTGAGACTGTGCCTGAGCCCCACCCAGTTTTCAAACCTGTCCAAAAGTATTGAGTAGTCGACAGTATCAAATGCAGCACTGAGGTCTAATAGCATTAATATTGAAGTTTTGCCAGTGTCTTAAGGAAGGAAGCAGCCTTACCACTTGTCCTTTCTACCATTTGCTCTAAAGCCTAGTTTATGCTTCAAGCCTCCCTTGCCTCCTTGCTGCCTTTTCACACCTCCTTGCGTCCTTGCGCGTGTCGACCCATTTTTCTAGACTAGCGTCGAAAGCGACGCAAGCCTCCCTCAGCGCACAAGGCTGTGATTGGTCTGCTAACTACGTCCTTTACGGAGTCTCACATTTCCGTTTTCATAGCACAACACCGTGAAATATTCCCGATGTCCTCTGGACGTCTTTCCTTCCTGCCGTCCTCGGTTCTCCTCGAGTCTCGTCTTTGTTCTTTCCTCAAATCATCCTCTCCTCTCCTCCCTCACTCATCTTCTCCTCTTCTTTTCTTTCCTTAATCCATCCTCTCTCCTGTCTTCTCCTCCTCTCTGCTCAGTCCATCACCTTTCCTGAGTCCTCCATCACATCTTCTCCTCTCCTCATGTCTTCTCCTCAGCCATGCAGTCACTTTTCCTCCTCTACTTCTTCTCTCCTCTCCTGTTTTGCCTCCTATCTCCTACCATCTCCCTTCCTCTCCTCTCCATCTCTCTCTCCCTCTTCTGTGTCCTCCTTTCAAAATGTATCCTCTCCTCCCCTCCTACATCCTCTACAGTCGTCTATTTCCTCTTTCCTCACCTCTCTCACCCTTTGTCACCTTTTTTCTCCCCCATTCCAGCAGTTCTCGTGTCCCTTTCTTCTGTTTTATTGGTTGCATCTGATTCTTTTGTTCCCTCATTTCCTTCTTGACGTCTCCTCACCGCTCCTCTCTCCTCCTCTCACACCTCAAACCGTCTCCCCTTGCCTCATCTCCTCCTCTACCTCCCTACTGTCCTCCTCTCTTCTTTGATTTTCCACCACCCCACCCACACCTCCACCTCTTTCTCCACCACCAATCACTTCCATCTCATCCCCTTGTTCATATGTGAAGTCGTTCTGTGGATTATGGCTCCTCTCATTTCTTGGCACTGAGCTGTATTATCATATTAGTGGAGGATGACGTAATGCGTCTCAGGACATTTGTCCTTCACACACACTCTGTCCCTCCGCAGATGACGTCACTGGCTTTGTGTCCCCGAAGCAGAGAAGTCGTAAATGTTTTTTTCATGTTCGATGACGTCGCCATCTGGTGGCGGTAGAGCGGTATTGATGAATTAAAGGGAAGAAAAGGAGTAAATAGGATGGAGCGATGATTCCTGATGGACTCCTGATGGATGTCCTTGGCTGTAGCTGTAGTCACGTGGTCTGTGGGGTCAGAGACGCAACGATGGAGCCACACAGTTCAGGTACGACTCGATTACTAATCATTACATTACATTACATGTCATTTAGCTGACGCTTTTATCCAAAGCGACGTACAATAAGTGCATTCAACCATAGGGTACAAACTCAGGAGAACAAGAAACAAGAAAGTGCAATTTCCTCAAATAAGCCAATTTACAATTTGCTATAGATGAGTGACGTTACAAGTACAATTTAAGTGCTACAATTTGTTAGTCTTTAGTCGAGGTAGAGTCTGAAGAGGTGTGTCTTTAGTTTGCGGCGGAAGATTTGAAGGCTCTCTGCGGTCCTGGTGTCTTCAGAGAGCTCGTTCCACCATTTCGGCGCAAGGACAGCGAAGAATTGTGATCTAGTCGAGTGTTTTGCTCTCAGTGAGGGAGGGACGAGCAGTTTTGCAGATGCAGAGCGGAGAGTGCGGGTTGGGATGTAGGGTTTGACCATGTCCTGGATGTAAGCTGGACCCGATCCATTCACAGCATGGTACGTGAGCACCAGTGTTTTGAACTGGATGCGGGCGGCCACCGGTAGCCAGTGAAGAGAGCGGAGGAGTGGAGTAGTGTGGGAGAATTTCGGAAGGTTGAAGACCAGTCGAGCTGCTGCATTCTGAATGAGCTGCAGAGGTCGAATGGCGGTGGCAGGGAGACCTGCCAGGAGCGAGTTGCAGTAGTCCAGGCGGGAGATGACAAGAGCCTGAATCAGTACCTGCGCTGCCTTCTGAGTGAGAAGGGGACGTATTCTCCTGATGTTGTAGAGCGTGTATCTACAGGATCGCGTTGTCGCAGTGATGTTGGGAGTCAGGGAGAGTTGGCTGTCGAGTGTGACGCCGAGGTTCTTAGCGGTCAAAGTGGCCGTTAGTACGGAGTTCCCAAAGTTGACTGTCAGGTCCTGGGTAAGCGAATCTTTTCCGGGAAAGAGAAGTAGTTCAGTCTTGTCGGGGTTGATTTTCAGATGGTGGGCGGACATCCACTGTGAGATGTCAGTTAGACAGGCAGAGATCCGAGCCGCCACCTGGGTGTCCGAGTGAGGGAAGGAGAGAATTAGTTGGGTGTCATCGGCATAGCTGTGGTAAGAGAAGCCATGCGAGCGAATGACAGCGCCAAGAGAGTTGGTGGTGTAATCATATTGCATAACAATTTCTTACTGTACATATATATTTATTAACTTATTACACTTTACATATGCACATACTCTGCACTTTTTTGCTATTTTGCACTTCTGGTTGGATGTTAAACTGCATTTCGTTGCCTCAGTATTTGTACCCTGTGCAGTGACAATAAAGTTGAATCTAATCTAATGTAATACACATGTATATAATACTTTTTGGTAATACTTTAATAGAAAGACTATGACATACAATACTACTTCTTTTTAAAAACTACACAGTGTTGTTTTTTTTACTTTCATAAACATACATTGACTATACTTTACATTTTGATGACTTCCTCCTCATTCGTCCTCCTTAACTTCTCTGAACAGACTGCAACAAACCTCAAGTGTGGCAACCAGCTCCGCTTTGCATTCATTATTATGTATTGAACTTGTTTAAATGTTGCTTCTAGCTGCAGTTTATTGCACATATTAAGACTAACCTTTAGGTAGTTGGTCCTCTCGTGCAGAACTTACATAGAAACTCAATGTCTCCAAGTCCTCCAGTTGGACACATTTCTCTGGTTTAATAAAATAAAGTATTTAGTTTGGTGGCCGTACAGAGTTCCTACAGACGAGCATCAATTGAAACATTCATTTAATCCAGGAAGACTCTTCTAATCTGGTTCTTGTTCTGTTTCATAGATCTACGTGTTCACCCTGGCTGGAAGACTTCTACTTAAATTCTCACTATCATTTTCATTCTCCCCATAGTTGTGGTTCTAATCGTCTGGCTTTATAATGATCGAAGGAAAAGAATCTAAGTCCAAGTAAATATTCCAACAAATAATCTCAACATCTGTAAAATCCTCTTTGTTTCCTCTACATAGAAACTCAATGTCTCCAAGTCCTCCATAACTATGTACCCACCTGTTTGGTTAAATAGCCCAATATCACAAATCACAGTTTGCCTCAGAGCGCTGAACAATCTGTACAACACAGGACGTCTTTTACTGCATCAGACAAGGAAACACGTTTGTTAAAATATACATGTGATATTTTACCAAAAGGTGCTTTTACACTGGGATTGTCATGATTTGCTGTTTTGATACAAACATCCCAACACATCAAATCCAACACGTCAACATGTGCTTCTGTTTGAGGATGGAGTAAATTAGACACCACCCAAAAGATGGAGTCACTTTATCTGCAGCTCAAGTAAAGTAAATGTACAACAGTCCAGATCTCTAAAGGGCTGTTTGTTCTTCTTCCATCACTGACCTGCAGGTTTAACACAGAAACATTAACTTTTTCAGGAAGGAGCTGCTTGGTTAAGCGTTACGTCTTCTTTAAACTAATTTAAGACATTTTTAGGATCCAAACTTTGCACCAAGGTTGTTTCCAGGTGGCTTCGTGCTGCTACATCCTCACATCTGCTGCTTGCTTGTGCTCAGATCCGTGGAAAATAGAACCATTAAGAAGTCTCAAGTCACCTTTTCTTACGTGTGTGATTTATCCTGCAGAACGAAACATCAGCACCTCAGAATGAGAACTCCACCTTCAGCTCGGTGGGACTTCATGCTGGATGGATTCAGCTGGAGAGCTTCTACGCTGAGGTGGAGAAGCCTGACAGGTCCGTCAATGATTAAAGGGGAATGTTTTCCCAAATCCTGTCATTCAGCTGGTAGTTTGCAGAGTTATTGAAGCTTTCTGTGTTTTAGTTCATGTGATCTGCTTTAATGCTGAAAGATTCTCCTCCACACAAACGTGTCACAATTGGAGATTTTAGTAATTACATATTTTACATTTAAGATCAATGTAAAAAAAGTAAGAAATGCTTCGGTTTTATATTTTTATTTCTTATTTTAAAAAACAAAACATGAATCAAATCTGTTTTAACTGTGACAAATATATAAAACATAAAATTAGGAGATAATTGTTTTTATAATTTCAATTTTTATCTCATTTTGACTTTCTAACCATTTTCTTTGGTGGAACGAGGATTTCATAGAGACGAATATGTGAAACAGCAGAGAATTCAAGAAATATATTTTTCCATGACATATTTAGTCATTCAGTGTATCAAGTGTCTTTACTATAATAACATCACATATTGATTCTTTGGTAAAAACTCACAGTAAACCAGAGAGGAACACGTGACCTTTTAATCACTGAAACACAAGATCAGTATGAAGCTTCAACAAGTTCTAAGTTTCCAACCAAAACAAAACCTGCTGAACAGAATTATGTACGAGTAAATACTGTACAAGCAGACACATATGCAATGTATTTATTGGTCAATTGGACCGTATGCAGTATAATACAGTATATTTAAGGTTATTCGCTTACATATAATTGGTCTTGATTATACATTCAAGATAACATTCACCAAAAACATATTGACATGGTCTTGTGTGTGTGATATATTGTGTATAATCAATGGATTATCAGCATTTGTTTTAAAGGTGAACTATGATTTTTACATGAAGTTTTTTCTTGCCAAAATGCATCTTTGAGTCACGTTTTTAATGTCTTTCCTTCACCAGGAAATATGTGCAAAGCTGAATTTATAAATCCTTTAAATCCTAAATAGTTTGCGTCCATGTTTGCTGCTCTGCGCTCGTCTTCCTCTTTTCTTCTCCTGGTGTGTTGCTGCCACCAGCTGTGAGTCAGTGGAACATCATCACGGGTTTAGAAGGTGACCTTTAAGTGGGAGCTTTCCTCCCGGGCAGCGTGACGTGTTTGACATCCTTTTCTTTGTTGGTGCTTCTTGAAGTCCACGAGGTGAACAGTGATGACGGCAGACACCATGATGATCAGACCCACAGAGAACACCACCATCTTCACCAGGAACACGGAGGGAAGCACCGGACCTGAAACACACCACAGGTGGATTCATCACAAACACAACACGTCTGTGCTTTCTGCTTGAGTTTGTATTTAACCCCTGCGTCCCTGACGAGGAGCTTTAGAGACGCTCAGAACTCAGAATTCACTCAGAAAACACACAATTGTTTCTTTACACACAGAAAGGCTGAAACTACAAACTTATCAGAAGTCGTCTCCTCTTTCAGTCTTACCAGCATGTTCGGTGCAAAGGTGTTTAGCAGTATTCAAGTCCTGGGTCCAGTGAACCTGGTTGCTATGGTTACAGATGATCACGTTGTGCAAAAAAAAAGACCCGGAAATCCCTCAAAGTGTCAGGCAATGCGAGCTTTAGCCAGCGGACAATTAAGGTAAAAGCAATAAGGTACTTGAGGGTGTACTTTGTCGTCCAATAATGTAACCGTTGGGGGTGTTGTTATTAATGAAGTCGTCTCTTTCAGTCTTACCAGTATTTGAGGAGCAAAAATGTTCAGTCGTATTGAAGTCGTGGGTCCAGTGAACCTGGTTGCTATGGTTACAGATGATCACGTTGTGCAACAGGTAGACCTGGAGAGAAGCCCCAGAGGTCGTGACCTCTGGTCGCTCTCTTCCCCCTTGAATGCAGACCCGGTCGACACATCTGAAAGTGCTGCTGATGTTTGAGTTGTGAGTCCTGCAGGTCACATGGAGGTCACATGACTCTGAGCTGTTGTCCACTCGGTCCACGATCAGTTCAACTGGAGACACTGGTCCTGAGGGGGGGGGAGGTTTCTGTGAAGAATTTATGAAACATGGCGACAGAAACTATCAGTGAAATGTTTACAGACTCACCTTGAACTGTGACCTTGTATTCAGTCAGTAGTTTGTCTCCCTTTAGGGTGTCTGCTTCAGCAGAATAAACTCCACTGTCGACCTCTTGTACATTCTTCAATATCACAGAGAATTTATTCTCAGGAAACTCAAACCCTCCAGTGACATTATGAAATGACAGTTGGATTCCCACTAGGGATCAAATCATACTAAAGTGACTGTTTTATTGATTTTCCAGTTCAACAAATGAAACCTCTCAGAAGGATCAGCATGATGCTCGAGAGCAGATCACGTCCCTTCAGCACAACACAGGAGTCACAATGGTTCCTGTAAAAACAGTAGACACATGATACATAAACATCACACACAATATGTGATGAATCATCCACTGCTGAATGTTCCTCCATCACTACACTTTATTTATTACACATTGAACCAGCGGTTCACCTTCAGCTCATCACTGCTTAACATGAAGTGACAGAAGTCTCTTCAAATGTCTCACGTCGTCTCTTCCTGAGGACACAGAGAAGCTTAACAGCAGAAACTAAACCCACTGAGAGCAAGTTGCTGCTCAAAGTTCTTCTTCTTGACGTGACAAAGTATTTCCATTCTGTCTCTTTGTCCTCTTTCCCTCCGTCTCACCACACTAATGTCCCCCAGCATCAGCTACACTGAACATGGACGACTTTAGAAAATAAGACGTCCACAGACTGAACGCTGAAGGAGTTAAACTCTGAGAGGAGTAAAGGTCAACATCTGTCTTGGAGGGAAAGAAGCGTTCAGCCCGTTTCAACAAGTGGTGAGAAAGTGTCTAAAAGCACCTGAATGTTTCCTCTGAATCACACACGTCTTCTGTTGGAACACTCAGAATATTCACTGAAATAAGACGTGGACATTAAGGAATGAAAGAGAACTTAAGGAAGTATTTCCCTCTGAAGCTGAGTGTGTACGTAAATTATGAGAAAATATGAAATTATCTTGTTAACTGGCTGAGAGCAATGATATTTCTCTACTAACATTTGCAAAGTTCATTGTTTTTCAAACCTCTGATTCTTTATACTGAGACAACTTCCTGCCTCTGAGCTCAGAACAAGAAGAACAACACGAATCCTGATTAATCACAAAGAAACTGTTCAAAAATGGAGAAATAGTGCTGCGGTATAAAAGCTTTGACCCAAAATATATAAATAAAGTTCTCACCTTGTGCTTCACATAATGTGAGCAGAGAAGCAAAGAGAAGAACGACGCACGACCTCATTGTGCAGAATGGAAGCTGGACGATGAAACCAGGAAGTGAAGAACGTTTCACTTCCTGTTTCTCCGGTTTGACTCACGAGGAAACAAAAGGAAACAAAAAAAATAACACAAAAGAGTGAAAGAAAAGAGTTTTTATGGATCCAGATCCGCTTGAGGACGCTTTCTCTGGCGGATTGTGCGTTGCGGATGAAGGGTGGAGGTGAACTAAAGGGTGGAGGTGAACTAAAGGGTGGTGGTGAACTAAAGGGTGGAGGTGAACTAAAGGGTGGGGTCGCTTCTCTCGGAGGGTAAATGGAGGCGAGCTGGGTGGAACCAGCTGGACTAGTTGGTTCAGATCAGATACGAGATAGAGAGACAGAATACGAGTTTCTCTCAATCAGCTGTGCGA